AAAACTGAATATTTGTTCTGGGGTAAAGTCAACATTTCTAGGCATAAAAAAGCCACAAGGAAAATAATAATTGATAACTATATTTTAAAGTTTCCAAAAAATTCTTTAAAAAGTGAAATGGTTCAAGCCCACCCAGGGATGCCAAATAAATGAACAAATACAAAATTAAACCAAGGAAAGCACTTAATGGTATATTAATATTTAGATATTTTAAAAGAGGCAAGGGGCTATTAAGATTCTTGCTTCATGAAACCTATGCAATTCAATAAGAAAAAAATATGTATATGTACGTGTGTAACTATATCTCTATCTTTTCCAACAGCCTATTGATTGATGGAAAGAGATTTGCCTCCCACTGTTACTATCACCTGCTTTAAGTTTTTCATTTATTTAATAAGGATACAGAAACTTTGTGGCAATGAATTCGCTTCTCCAAGCTGGAGTCAATACAGATTTTCTTGGCACCTAGAATCTCTAGTAAGGAGTGTGCAGCTGTTTTAGCAAGGTGGAACCCTGATAGAGTGGAGGACGTTACATCTGTGCTGTGCCCAGCTCTTTCATAGCTGGAGTTCATGTCATTATTCATCACTACTGGGGAACTTACACACATGTCTATAAGCAGAAGGCCTGCATATAAGGAGGTGTTTATTTATATCAGGTCCTCCTGCAACCAAACCTGTCTCCTCAAGGCCAGATGTACACAAGGAGGAAAAAAGCAGTGACCTAATGTCTTTGATTGCTGTCTCCTCCTTCAGTTTCCTGATGTTCTGGAAGACCCATTTCTCCACCCGGAATAGAATAATGTGCACAAGGCATAAACTGACAATTCACAAAAGAAATACAAAGAGTACACACACACATATGAGACTATATTGAACTGTTACTCAAATGAATATACAACAGTAAGATACTATGTTTCCATCTAGTTGCCAAAATTTTAAGCATGGAAACATTCCTTGTCAATGGCTTATGAGAAAAGATACTTATTAATATTTCTAGTCAGAGTGTAAATTGATATGACTTCTCTTTTTTCAGGGTATTTTGACAGGGTCTATCAAATGCTTTAACCTGTACATACCCTTCATACCCTTTGCCTCTGATATTTCACTTCCAAGAATTTATCCTAAGGCATTAAGGGATACAGAACTAGAGGCAAAGATTTATCCACTAGAATTGTTATCACAGCACAATTTATGAAACTGAAAATTCAAACAACCTAGATGTCCAATAGTGATTATGTTAAAACAAATTATGATAAATCAAAGCATGGAAGAGAATTATGTTGAAGAAAAAAGTCTAATAAAGTGGAGAAACTTAGGTCAAAACAGAAATTGCATTTTTTTTTGGCCACACACGACGCTTGTGGGATTTCAGTTCCCTGATCATTTGAACCCAGGCCATGGCAGTGAAAGCACTGAATTCCAGCCACTAGACCACAAGGGAACTCTCAGAAATTGCAATTTTAATAAAAAAATATACACAGGGATAAAAAATAAAAGCATAAATTCCAAAATAGAAACTAGTGAATATTATCCATATACTTCTCTGTGTCTTCCAATGATATGTAATGCTAAGTAACTAAAATAAATTCAGCACATGTATATAAACACTTATAATATTTTATACTTAAAATTGGTTTAAAGTTTCATTTTTTTATTTCTATCATCACCTAACATTTTACTTGCATTATTGATACCATACAATACAAATAATGATTAAATGCTTAATAAATTCTAATGATTATCTGAAGTCTTTAAACGTCCTAACTAGGTTCATTTAAAAAATTTAAGTTACCTTTAAGCACATTTTGTACAATTTAGACAATGGTGCTCCACTCACAGGAAATGAGACACAGTCCATTATAAGGGAATGTTTTATACTTGTTTTCTGTAGCAACTGACATTTCATTCAAACACTTTCCAGTCCCCCAGGAATCTCCAGCTGCTGTATGTCAAAATTTTAAGATTTCTCTTTGTGAACTTTAACACTTCTATAAAAACTCTTGCTCTTGGAGGAGCAAGCCTACTTCCGACTGATTGTTTTGATATTAACCAGTTAAAGCAAATCAATTATTCAGTTTAGTCTGAATAATCATTTCACAAAGTCACAGTTTTCCATATGCAAACAGGCATAAGCAAATAATAACTACCATTCTGGCTTTTTATAGCCTATTTCTATTTCTCAGACGTGTCCCTTGTGGTCTGTTTTTTGACTCCCTTTTGTGTATTTTTAAAAAATGAATGTTGGGTAATTCCTTGAGTGTTTGCTAATAATCAAATCTGGCTGTATAATTTTATGTTGGTAAATATGCATTTTGCTTTTATGCAAACAAAGACAGTATAGCTAGTGCAAAACCATGCAGGAGTTGCTAAGGTGCAAAGACTTATTTTAATTTTTTTGGCCACACTGCGCTACCTGTGGGGCCTTACTTCTTCAGTGAGGTCTCAAACCTGTGCTCCCTGTGGTAGAAGCTTAGATTCTTAATCACTGAACTGCCAGGGAAATCCCCAGACTTATTTTTAAGCTAGTAATTTAAACCACGGGACAAAGATTACACAAACCACTTACGTATGTATATAGGTGTGTGTATGATCCATATATAAATATATATCTATTTTTGATTTAGCATATCTACTTTATATACTTGGGCTTCCCTAGTGACTCAGTTGGTAAAGAATCTGCCTGCAATGCAGGAGACCTGGGTTTGATCCCTGGGTTGGGAAGATCCCCTGGAGAAGGGAATCTGCCTACTCCAGTATTCTGGCCTGGAGAATTCCAAGGACTGTATAGTCCATGGGGTCGCAGAGTCAGGCATGACTGAGAGGCTTTTACTTTCATTTTATGTATCTATATATCTATTTTATTATATATCTATATATTTTAGATCATATACACACACATACAAATCAATGATCAAGGAAAGGATAAAAGAAGTTATCTATGTGTCTGTATGGGAGTTCCATACTGAGAACAATCCTGTTATTTCAGCATCCAGAATTGACAACTATCTGTTTTTCATTGAACTCTAGATGTGCTTTATTTAAAAGTTTTATAAAGCTATTTTAAATAAAATATCAATTTTGAATAAAAGTATACTTTCCCCCAAACCTTTTGATGATATGAACTTTTAACTCCATCGAATATGATCGAATTTTGCAACACTGCCTGGATATTTGCTATGACTTTAATTAGTGTAGATTCAAATGTACCTTGTAGTTATTTTTTAAGTTTTTTTATTGATGTGGATCATTTTTAAAGTCTTCATTAAACTTGTTGCAATATTGCGGCTGCTTCTTCTTTTTCAATGTTTTGGTTTTTTGGTTCATGAGGCACGTGGTATCTTAGCTTGCTAACCAGGGATCCAACCCACACCCCCATTGGAAGGAGAAATGTTAACCACTGAACCACCAGGGAAGTTCCAAAAAGGTACCTTTTAAAAGTATCTCTCTCCTACAGCAAACTCTAAGCTACTGATGTACACAAAACTGTAAGATGAAAAGTAGTTTATAAGATGAAAAGTATTGAGGAATTCAGTTACCTAAGTTTATATTCCAAGATCTCTCTGCTCCTGACCCCTCAGAGGCCAGGCCTCATTTCCCCTTTAATCTTCACTTCGATCTTCTCGTTATCATACCTCCCCTTCCATTTCCTAGGAAAGATGCTGAAATGTCCTCCAGTATATAAATACCCCTGCCCTTGTGTTCCCAGGAGTTACACCTAACTCTTTCCTTAGTTCAGGTTTGGAGAGAAAAATCTGCACTTGCTGATGCCATAGTTTCTGTTCATCTCTCCACCCACTGCCACTTGGTGACCACATGCACTGCTCAGAAATTCATATCCTCCGTGCAATCCACAGGCTATCACTTCTACGCTTGTAGTCCTTCACTTACTACACTTCTGGAAATGTCTGACTGCTAATCATTTCCTACCTCTGCGGTCTATGTGAACTGATACTTCCTTTTGTCTCTATGGAAAGTCCCTCTTTGTTTCTTTCATTGGTGCTTCTTCTACAACTTTATGTTAAATGTTGATGACCTCAGTATTTTACCTTCATTCCTCTTCTTTTCTCATTTTATTTGTTTTTGGGTAGAGGTTTGATTATGCCCCATGGCTTTCACTGCAATTGTACAGACCATAAGGTAAACATTTCTGAACAAAATCTAACTGAATTTTATATATATGAAAAGTGAAGGTGTTAGTCACTTAGTCATATCTGACTCTTTGCAACCGCATGGACTGCAGCCTGCCAGGCTCCTCTGTCCATGGAATTCTCCAGGCAAGAATACTGGAGTGGGTAGCCATGCCCTCCTCCAGAGGATCTTCCTCACTCTGGAAATGAACCCTGCATCTCCTGCATTGACAGGGGGGTTCTTCCCCATCTGAGCTACCAGCAAAAGCACATAGATATATATAATTGCTTAATCTATTCTGAATTTTGATGTCCCACAGACCCCTCAAATACAACCTGGCTTTGTCTGAATTACTGACTTAATTAAACAACACGCTTTAAGCTCCCACTTGGATTTATACCATCACTTCCAGGTTAGACAGTCATTTAAATGTCTTCTTCTTCCCTAACCCCAATGCAATGAGTTAGTCTAAATTTTCATTCTGTCAGATTTTAATCTGTCTCTCTTTCCTTTCCAATTCTTGGTTCAAACATTTGTATTTTCTCACTTTGCTAATTATAACACTACCTGATTGGCTAGTTTCCTCTCAAGTTTGACCTCCAATTATGGGACTGCTCAGCCACAATTCTGGCTCCAGGATCAGGCACTGCGTGAGGGCAGCACAGAGACACAAGTGTGAACAGGGCCATTCCCCTACAGAGCCTACTCCCTTTGTGGGAAAGACAGCCAACATCCTACACCGCTTTCAGATTATTCTGTAAACTGTAAATATGACTGTAATAGTCTTTTGCATGAAAACTTTTCAGAGACTCCCATTACCTACAGGAAGAAGTACAAATTCCTTAGCATGGCCATGAAGGTGTTTTGCAGTCTGGTCTGGGGCTATCTGTAGACCACTCACTCATTGCTCATCCACACACAACCTGTCTTCCAGGCACCAACAGTTCACGGGGATTTTACACCCTCTTCCTGGTTGCTTTGTATGCATCTTGCATTTTTGCACATCCTTTGAGCCTGTGTACCAGTGTTTTGGTGATCTGATGCCAACAGCGGAGTCACTGGAAAAGTCGCTGATGCTGGGAAAGATTGAGGGCAGAAGGAGAAAAGCATGTCAGAGGATGAGACGGCTGGATGGCATCACTGATGCAATGGACACGAACTTGGGGAATCTTCAGGAGATGGTGAGGGACAGGGAGGCCTGGGGCGCTGCAGTCGGTGGGGCTGCAGAGTTGGATGACTGAACCAGATGGCAACAACAACAATAACCAATGCTACTTCCTTCCTCCTTTATGAGACCATTTTTTCTCTGCTACCTCTCCTATCTCTGTGGCAAGAATCTGCTCTATGCTGACATCAACTCTGCACTCTGTGCTGTAGCATTACTAAGAACATTAAAATTACAATGTAATATTTACTTGACTATTTGCCCAACCAGCCTGTGAATTTTTACAATCAGAGCCTATATCTTACTCATTTTTTTTCTCAGCCCCTGGTACAATACCTAACACTGACTACTCATTGAATGAAAATGTAGTTGCTATACTAAACAAGAAATCAATTCAAAAAGTCATGTCCCAACTTTATTCAGTTTTCAGCTTCTGTGTGACTTAATGTTCACAGTCAAGGTACAATTCATAAGACATTTTAAATTGTTCCTTTCTCAAGTTTATATGCATTTGTATCCATTTTAATATGAATTTAAAAAGCTTTTAGATTTAGTTTATAATCTAATCAGTACGGAAAATTATCTCAAGTCAAATAATAAAGAGAAGAAAATTCCAATATAGTGCAAGCTCCTTTCAAGCTATTTAGTAACTAATGCAGATTTTTCACATTTAAACTCGTATGTGGATGTGATGTTCATTAACAGAATTGTTATGACCTGAGAAGAATATTCTATAAATAACACACCCCCCAAATCAGTTAGCTCCTCTTCAAACACTTGAATACCCTTGAAATGGCAAATAAACTAAGGTTCTATGGCTTTAACACTTATCTTTTCTATTTCAGTGATAATTACATCAATAAACCTGATTCAGCATTTGCTGCTATTCAATTCATTAATTAAAACAATTTTACTGCTACTGCTGTGATTTTTCAAGGATATCAAAACACATTCAAAAATTAAAACAGCATACATCATCAGTTTTGATATGTGTTTGTATGCTTTCTTTTGATTTCAACTCCACAATTAAAAGAACATTAGGCTTTTAAGCAAAAAAAGCATATATTCTATACACTTTGAACAAAAATACTTAAAATGCAAGTTGTTTTGTAGAAATGGCAATATTTGTGTAAAGAATAGCAAACTGTCAAGAATTCAAAAAAATCCTCTTAGAATAGAAAATATAAATGTATGTAAATACTTAAGTGATAACCATGATTGTAGACTTTATGGTATTCTTAATTCTAGTTTCATAGTACTAAATTTTTAAAAAAATTTATTTAAATCATCACTTATTGTGCTTAAGTGACTTGTAACTTATACATGAAGTGAATATATTTCATCCCAAATGAAATATAGAAGCTTTTGCTTAAAGAATGGTATAAGTTGCTATTTAAACTATAAACATACCTCACAGTGATGTAATTATTTTTATATATTGGGAACTATTTGTACTTTGCAAAGCTGCACTTTCATTCTGACCTTGATTTAGTAAGCATGCAACATATTACTTTTGCTATTTTTGACATCCTAGAGCACCTAAAACATAAAATATAATTTACAACAGTAGAACATGCCAGAATTGACCATTATATGACAGAAGAGGGCCCAAGATGGAATTTATATTCAAGTTATGGTTCAGCATGTGTGGTAGAATCTCGTGAAATTTATTTCTCACAGCAGTGGAATTCCACCTTTATTCTTGCAATCAATTTTCAAAGGAGGCTGAGAGTTGATAAAGATCAAGTTGAAGGAATGAAATTAGGCTAGTTAGGTGAAATTATACACCTCTCTTCAAATTATTTGTGGAAAACTCAAATATTCTCCTTTTGTAAAAAGATCCAGGAAAGAAATGACACCTGTGTGGTGGCTAGAAGCATTACAAGTATACGACTTGACAGGGTACTCCAAGGTCACAGCAGTTTCTCCCAAACTAGTCTAGATCTTGACTGGTGATAGAATAGTTACAAATCCTTCCATTTCTTTTCTCTCACCTATATTCAGTTGCTCAGAGGAAAAATCCTCCTTGCTCACTTTTTCGGGGATATTCCCGGTGGCTTCGCCTGCCAATGCAGGAGACACAAGAGATGTAGGCTCGAGTCCTGGGTCTAGAAGATGCCCTGAAGAAGGGAATGGTAACCTGCTCCAGGTATTCTTGCCTGGAAAATTCCATGGACAGAGGAGCCTGTGGGCTGTAGTCCATGGGGTCACAAAAGAGTTGGACACAACTGAGTGATACACAAAAACAACAAACACTTTTTCAGAGAACATGTTTTTCCCAACAACGTAATTTGGATTGCAAAATAAAGTACTCTGTTGTGAGAGTGATGTAAACATCATTACAACAGTTTGTCAAACTGGTTTAAGGGGTACATTTCTTTTTTAAAGTACAGTAGCTCAACTTTTAGAATCTATCTATCCATAAAGATGGTGCAGTGGTAATGGATGGTAAAGGAGATGTGAGCTCGATCCCTGGGTCCAGAAGATCCCCTGGAGGAGCAAATTGCAACCCACTCCAGTATTCTTGCCTAGATCATTCACGGACATAGGAGCCTGGTGGGCTACAGTCCATGGGAACGCAAAGAGTTGGGCACGACTGACCACATTCACACACATCCATATAGAAAACAGACTTTAAAAATATTATTTCAAGGCACAAGTACCTTGGTTTTTAAAAGTGTTTTAGTCCAGCAAATCAAGTCTCTATTACACCTCAAAATATTGCACAATAATGCTCTACCCTCATTATTAGCCACATCAGCCCTGGATACTTTAGTAACTGCACAATCACCGTGGCAAAAGTGAGGTCCTACCACAGGTATATTGCTACGATCCTAGATGAGAAATAAAGTCTTCCAGGAATGATTTACTTTATTATGTGAACTGATGAGCATCACTTGAATCGCCTTTTAATTGACTGGCTGTCTAAGTGACATGCCTTGGAGGGAAGTACCACTTTTGAAATTTCCTTTGACCAGGAGGGGAAGGAACACTCTAGTCTCTTTGAAGTCTACAGCCATCAGACTAATTATCAGCCCCACTTAACGTTCGTTCATTTAATTACAGTGAATTAAAAAGTATGTGGGATTTTAGAGAAAAATAAAAGAGTCAATAAATGGTGACAGAGATTCCAGGCTATGCAAATTGGCAGTGCCTCTTCTGGAGGAGACCATTCTTTCTCCCTCATTTCACCAAATGCACAGATACTCGGCTAATGCAGACAAAGGGAGCTTGGTAAGAGGGAGGGGACATTGACTGTGGGCCCAAACTGTGTCGGTACGTGATACTGTTTACCTAACTTAATCTCCACGCTTAATAAGAAGACATACTTTTCCGCCATTTACAATAAACAGAAAGAGTATCCCCCCACCCCTTATTTGGAACTCACTCAACACCAGGCACTGTCATCCTAAGCACTGTCTATTCGAGAGTCCGTTTAATCCTCACCACAGCCCTGGAAGGACTGTATGCTGTTGGTGATCTTCCGTAAACTACAGAAAGGTTAGGTCACTTGTCCAAAGTCACACAGCTGGGAGACAGTTGAGCCAATATCAACCCTGGAAGTCTGCCCTCAATAACACAGCCTCATCTATTGCTCTCAATGAAGGCTCTCAAGTTTCCCAGTCTCAACAAGACAGAAAAAGACAGCCAGCTCCTCTTGGTCTGTCTAATGTCAAAGGTCATCGCTTTCCAAGAGGCATAAGGGGTCACGGAGACAGGCAGAAGGAGCCAGGTAAAGACCTCCACATCTCTGGTGCCAGCCATACAGCTGACCGAGTGGCCAGGCAGAGATGGGGGACGTTGGGAGCTTGAGCTCTGAGGGTCTCAAGAGCAAACTGTCTTAGGGGCTCACTGAGAGGATCAACACCCTGTGCACCGTGCCTCTGAATCGAGGCATTTTTCATAGCGCTGAGCTGCTGGCTGACAAAGGATAATAACATTGAATGCATGCTAGTCTTCTTCTGGGAAAAGATGCACAAATAAAACATTTTTAAAACTTAAAGCTTGATGTTTTGAGAGAAAAAAAGTCCTTTGTTCCTGACATTTAAATAGATATTTGGAATTTAAATCCGATTACTTGCAAGGCTGGAGAGTGGGCATTCAGTCAGGGGTCTTTTAACAATCCATCAGAGACAGGAAAGATGCCTTGAACCATCCAGAACATACTGGCAATTTTCCCTCTGATTACAGCATCTCATCACATTTATTTTGTAACCTCTCAACAGCTTACTAGAACTACTGCTTATAGGTGGTCACAAACCACTGACCCTCCAGTATTTGCCCTGGAGCATGGCAGTTGACTCAGAAAGTTGTCAATACATGTCAAGAAAGGTCTTCTCCCATGTCCTTAATTCGGAACAATATTAACATTTGGAATTTGAAATGAAATTCAATCTACTGTAACAATTTTTTTTGTCTCAAAATGCTTTTTAACTTCAACTCCTCATGGTTGGTGAAGAGTTAGCTTTGCAAAAGAATCTATTTTATCACTTGTTTAGAATCTCTGCTAACATGGAGACATGTGACATGGCCTGAGCGTTCCTTGATTCCCGTGGGATGCTCAGGCCATCAAAATTTCATTAGCCTCATGCAGTCCCAGCGCCTTCTTAACTTGAACTGTTGGCCTATTTATCAATAAATAAATGAAATCTAATCCATTTTAGTGACTCAACTTTTCTTTGAAGTTACAACTAGAACATTAGTCACTTGGCTTACGTGATTTCACAAATGTTGAATACTATTTTGTTTTCTGGGGAAAACAGCCTTTCCTTATTCACAGTTAGCTTCAAATGATGAAAACAGTCAACCCAAACTCCCCTTCTAAACTAAGGGGAGAAATAAGACAGTGTAGAGTTTCTAAGTTAGTTTCACTTTGGTGAGTTATTTCATGCACATCCTTCTTGTTTCAACTTATAGTGATATAACAGGGCTCCTTAGAACACACTGCAAGCTCACATGAAAGTGAATACAACTAGAAAATTTAAATAATTGAAAGTCAAAGGAAAATACAGCTGGAAAATCAATAACCTTTCAGTGTGAGAGCAATTAAGAATGCCAAAATGAATTATTTTAGAAAGTCTATTTGAGTCTTTGTGACCCCATGAACTATAGCCCGCCCGGTTCCTCTGTCCATGGGGATTCTACAGGCAAGGAGTGGGTTGCCAGGCCCTCCCCCAGGGAATCTTCCCAACCCTGGAATCAAACCTAGGTCTCCAGCATTGCAGGCAGAGTCTTTACCATCTGAGCCACCAGGGAAGCCCAATATTTGAACAGTAGTAATAGTAAAAATTGGTAAAGGTTTTGAGGATATTGTTTAAAAAGATGTTAGAAGACCCTGGGTATGATTACAAATTTTAGATTTTACTATAACCCAGCCTAACAAAAAGCTTTTTTATATCAGGAAAAAAAAGCCTCAATATTCTCATTTAATTCCACAATTCCACAAGATTATGTTCCCCAGATCTTATTGTAATGAATCTTATGCTCTTTCTGAACAATCACTGAAAATTCAGAATAAATTGATCTGAAATGTTCCTATAGAGCACATATGAAATCTATGAAAGATTCAGTGTTCAATAAGAGGTCATATCTATTTTATTTCCTCTTTTATTTTCTTTCCTGAGCTGACTCACTGGGAGTTCTTAGACCATCAAAATGTTGTTTAAAAAAACAACCCCAGCCAAACCTTGGGGAAAGAATAAACATAAGTTGAAGTCATCACTTGCCCAGCTCAACAAACATTGTTTTTGACACTTTATACTCCTGACTGACCTATTTACTCTCAACAAATGCTACCAAATGTTCTGAATCTCAAGGCAAGGCCCTTGACACCCTGTCCGTGTCTGTCTTCATTCTGGTTCAGAATGACCACATGGAGAAATGGATGCATCTAAGCGTTCAATCTTGCCTTTATGTCACAACAGGGACAAAGAGATTCCTGGGGCAATGAGTTTCTCCCCTAGTCCATAATAACCCATGTAGAGGGAGAGGGCAGTGATGTGAGAAACTCAACAGGTTTCCTCTTCCAATCATTTGGATAATAGACACTGTTAACTAAAGTTGGCAAAATCTCTAAGTTTTACGTTTTCTGAAAAGAACAAAATGGCATGTGTTTGGGAATTCATTGTGCGACCATTTTAGCAGACATACACTTTAAAAAATAATAAAAATTAAATTATGTTTTAGCAATACAGGCACAATAACAAGATATACTTGTCAGAGAGAGAGATGCCTCACAGGTTGTGTGTGCCAAGCTGACCCAATGTGGGACGATACTTAATGGATATGCAGATGAACAGCCCATGATGCAGAAAATCAGAACTGATTTGCATTGTTCTCCTGCATTCTCCTCTGCTCTTTTCCAACCATCACAAAATTTGACACATATTTTAGGAAAATCAAACATCAAATCATATATTTGAATATAACCACAGTACCTAAAATTGCTTGAAGAGGGTTATGGAAAGATACAGATGGACAGGAAGCAAACTTTATGCCAAATCTTATTTACTTAAAAGGTGAATGACTTCTGAATCCACACTGAAAAGTGGTGTAAACCCAGGTTTCACTGAGGTGGACGGTTTGGTTCGGGAAAATACTGCAGTCAGATTCTAAGACTCGTGTTGAGCAGAACTGTCCTTATTTTCTATATTGGGTTGGGATGAAGCTAGCCTCCACCAGTAACTCATGCTTCCAAAATGAATATATGAGTTTCTATCATTAATTGATTGTGACTTTGTTTTAACGCAATAAAATATTCTCCATAAGATATTGTTTTCATTGGTTTAAAGCAGGTTTTTTTTTTTTTTCTAATAGTAAGAAAACAAGTAACAAACAGTATGACGCACTAGCTAACCCTTCATTCAGTGACCTGGCTGAGATTGAATGCTGACAATGGACCTGTTTTCCTATCACAAAGCAAAGCTGACAAAGTTGCTCCATAAAGAATAAAAATGAAATACCATTGGTAAAACACTATCTTTCTTTTCACAAGTCACGCAATTCTTCCATTTTAATTTTCTCTTTGCTTTTTGATGCCTCATATACACACAGCATTAATAACCAGGCTAAAGCATCAAGTGCACTGATAATATTAAATGCTAAAGAAGAAATGTCATTTTGTTGTCTGGTGCATTGGTGCTGAAGCTCCAATTTTTCCTAGAAGCTGCACTGACTAAAAATTAAATTTCCTTTTAAATCTATTATCGCATATATACTAACTGCTTCTTTATCATTTTGCATTGGCAATAGGGAAAGATCAAAATAATTTATAAAGATATTTTTCTTAAAGTATGTAAATCTGCTATTTGGATACCCCCAAAATCCAATTTTTGTGCATGGATTTAATTGCAGAGTAATCCAGTCTCCAAAGCACATCAAAGACCACACTCCCTTCTCTTTATCAAGATTTCAATTGCTCTCATCAACCAGTAAGTTAAAAGCATGATCAAATTTGTTCTTCAATCACTTGAGCCCTGTTAATAAACCATTCTGTGTGCTCACTCATCCATTCTGAGATTCTGGAACTTCTTTGAGATATTTTTAAGAGGAATCTACAAAGACATCTCTGATTACAAGCTGGCTCTGGGGTAAATTTGATCACCACTTGCTCTGCTATTCCATGGAGGATAACAGGTGACATGGTTCAAGATAAGTTAAAGCCAACCTTTTTTTCCCCCCTGTACATGATTAGACTGTTTTTCAAAACGATAGCTAACACAACAGAGAATGCTTGTATAACACAACTTAACACTCTGATGTCGAATTTGAATTTTTTTTCCCTAGGAAAAATAATGCAATATTGAAGGACATTTTTTGAGTGCTACTGTGTTGCAATGCAAAGAAAAGGAAGAAGAAAAAAAAGAGAAGGAAAGATGAGAAGAAGGAAGAAAGCCATTCCTCCAGAGTCAACCAAGACAGACAGAAGCACTGAATGCCAACATTATAAAGCCAAAACAAAAAGGAACTTACCGGTTTCACTGTCGGATTTGTTTTCATGCTCCGTATCTGTCAGGGTGAGCGCTGAGTTGGACCGGCTTGACAGGCAGGAGCTGCGGCCTGACTTGACCCCCCGGCCCCACAGTCTCATGGCATGCTCTGGGGACATCACTGCTTCATTCTCAGTATCAGCGTCTGACCCTGCACTGATCGAGTAACCTCTGTGGGGGAGCCCCATTTCCGCACAAAATGCCAGTCCTCTTCGAGTTGCTGGTTCACAAACGCCTAACTGCCTTAGGGTAAAATTTTGTCCTAATTAGAGGGGAAAAAGAGATAACAACTAGTGAGTATACATTTCGTTTTAGATTTTATTTTTCTAAACAAAATCTCCCTAAAATAAACACTTAAGCATCCAGATATTTGCACTCTCAGCACTAGGTATTGGCATTAGCTTCACATGACATATGATCTAGTAAGGTCCAGCTAGGGGAGGATTGGGTGTGAAGGGGGTTCCACCTCTGACTTTCCACCCACCCCAGCTCAGAGCTGCTTATTTTAGCCCATAAGCACCTCCAGAATGCTGGGCAGGTAAAGTGGTCCAGACCATGAAAACTCAACCAAGAGAAAGCCTTAGTTATCATTGATAGAAACTGTCAGAAGTATTTTCCTGGTCCTAGCTCTTATCCCAAACATTAGGAGTTTTCCACCCAGAAGTCACCCCTTAGGAAGAGAAAAGATTGCCCTCTAGAATAAGTTACCTGCTAATTAGAAACAGGGGTTTGGGCAGTCTTTATTATACTTTTCCACTTAGCACTTAACAACCAATAAAAATATTGTGTGTTTCTGTACAAACATACACTAACTTTTGGAGTGTAAAGTCTTGAAAGTGTGCAGACATCTGACTTCGGCTTTAATAAACACCTAGAAACATCTGTATTGATCGAAGTAAACCAATTCGTGCAAATAAAGTGCACTCTAAAAAATAAAGTTAGGAGTATTATGTATTTAAAAATTAATGATAAAATCAAGTTCCCTGAAAAATAAATGGTTGTGAACCCTGAAGGTTTTCACTAATAAATCGATATAATAAAACTCGTGACACTGCAATAACTTAAAGCAAAAGTGTTTAAATTAGGTGACACTTTAAAACGACTGCCATTATTAATGGCTTTTCCAATCCTGTGTTTACTCTTGAAGTTTCACCTATGTTTTATGATACCAGGGGTGAGAAGAGAGAGAAAACTGTTTGCTTAGATGATGCGTGCATATGGGCCTTCTATTGCCTGTCTCATTGGCATGGTAGAATCTGAGATTTAGATACCAACTAGAATCAAAATACAGGAAAAGAATAATAGTATACCAAGACTGATTTCAATGCTACTCTATAATACCAACCTTTTAAGAATATTAAGCATTTATTTTACTCATCCTTTTCATTTTCCCACTTCCCTCTCTTACCTATCCACGAACACTTTAAAGTTAATTGGCTGGTATGAGAAATAACATACATTACATTTTTTAAAAGAGTGGGTCATAAATTATTTGCAATAAAATAATGTCTTGACTCTTTCAGGAAATGAATCAAACATAATGCATACGATAGTAAATATTTGGTTGTAAAAATATTAGCACCCTCCAGCACTCAGCCCATTTTAACCAGAGTGGTTCACTGCTTTACGGCTATGGTCAGATCAGAAGGAGAAATCTGCCTTATCTCGGTCAGACTTCCAAATGGGTTCTGACAATGACACTCATAAATAATGAAAACCTGTTGCTACAATTAGCTACAAATTATCTCAGAGAGACATGAATACGTATCTGTACCAAAAAGCATGTAAAAAGAAAACAGCAAAAATAGAGAGGAGGGACTAAGAACCCACTGAACAGTGAGAAAGTGGGCAAGCTTCATGAGGTAAGACACAGTATGGCCAGCATTTTTCAAAGAATTAGTGTGGACTGTACTTATAAAAGCAAATCCAAAAAAAGGTCAATGTCATGGAGAGTTAAAGGAATGTAATGGATGGTTAATGTGAACGAGCTTATCCATTCCTATTATATCATCTTTAAAATGGAGAGGGAGGAAAGGGTGTAAGACAGTTAAACATCACCATCAAACATGTTGAGTTTCCAAAATAATTTTTCAAGTGTGAGAATGAATGATAAGATCCTGTGCATCTTTCCTGTGGGAGGTTCCCACTTTGGAAAATAAAAATCAGAGACAAGTTAAAAGACAGTGAGAACTCTGTTTCTAATCTCTGAAATGTAACTCGAAAAATTCCCCACATTATTGACTTTTCACACTATTGCCATCTTCATGCAAAAATCTATGGAGTGAAGGAAAGCAGAAAACGGCAATCTTGATTATTTGTTATCTGGGTATACAAACACAGCTCACTTTGCAGATAAGTATCTAGGGCATCATCCCTATGAATTGATGCGTGCATCCCAAACTCCTTAAACATCCAACCCTCTGAAACCAATGTCTCGCAATGATTCAAATTCTTAAGGGCTGTTTCTGAAATGCAAGTTAGAAAGTAAGGTGTTAGATTCCTTACTAAATTAAGTCTGCTTTTGCTTTCTTGGGAAAGAACACTAAACTTGAAATCCAATGAACCTAAGTTTAAGCCACTTATGGATTTTATCATTTACCACTTCATTTCTTCATTTTTCAGGGCCGTTATGACTCGGTTTAGGAGACGCTTTTTACGCTTTTGTAGAGCAAAAGGAATCCATCCACAAAACAAAGACAACCTAATGAATGGGAGAAGTTCCTTGCAAATGATATGACCAACAAGGAATTAATTTCCAACATATATAAACAACTCATACAATTTGACATCAAAAAAACAAACAACCTGATTTAAAAATGGGCAGAACTGAACAGTCATTTTTTTACGAGGAAATGCAGATGGCCAAAGATATTTAACCTTGCTAAACATCAGGGAAATGCAAACCAAAACTACAGTGAGATACTACCTCACACCTGTCAGAATGGCTATCATCACAAATAACACAAATAACAAATGTTAGGATGTGGGAGGGAAAAAAAGCCTCTGCTATATCATTGGTGGGAATGTACATTGGCACAGCCAGTGTGGAAAACAATACAGAGATTTTTTCAAAAAACAACAAATAGAACTCCATATGACCCAGCAATTCTACTCCTGGGTACATATTAAGAAAAAGTACTAATTCAAAAATATACATGCATCTCAATGTTCATAGCAATGTATTTACAACTGCCAAAGTATGAAGCAAACTAAGTGTCCATTAACAGATCAATGACTAAAGGAAAAAAAAAATTAAAATTAAAATTAAAAAAAAAAAACAGATCAATGACTAAAGAAGCTGCAGTATAAACATATATATATATACATATATATATGTATACACACACACACATACATATACACATATATGCAATGGAATAATATTCAACCATAAAAAAGAAGGAAATTTTGCCATATGCAGCAACATGGATGGACTGGAAGGGCATTATACTAAGTGAAATAAGTCAAACAGAGAAAGACAAATACTGTATGACATCACATGTGGGATCTACAAAATTCAACAAACTGGTGAATAAAGCAAAAAAGCAGCAGATTCACCACTATAGAATACAAACTAGTGGTTACAAGTTGGGAGAGGGAAAGGGGGGAGGGACAACATAAGGAAGAGGGGACACAAAAGGGTTATTATGGAATTATATATGTGAATCTTTTGAAAAACTGTCAAGCATTATGGAATTAAAGAATCTTTCATTCAATTTAAAAATTTCTAAAAATTAAAAATGTTAAATATTTAAAAGTGATGCTTTACGTAAATGAGACCAGCATAAAGGCGAGCAGAATGAAAAATGACAAAAAGTAAACATCTGGACAAATGTAATAATGATAGAGAAATGTATAATTTGAGGGGAGGGAGAGGATTGCTTTCAAATAATTTTAGAAGAGCCACATCACCACTAAAGTTGATTTTTCCTTCAATCAAAACTCTTTGTACCCAGTGCTTCAAATTCCATTATTGTTGATTCTCCTTTAGGTTAAGGAGTCTTGCTTGTAGGATCCCTCATTTTAATGCAAACATATCTGGGGAGTTCTAGTTATTAAAGGAGAATAAATTAAGCTATTTTTTTTTTCCTACAGGTGAGCAATGTTTAGCAAGATGGGATATACTAATGGAAAGCACAGCCACTTTTGACAAACAGAAGGAAGATGGAGGAAAAGAAGGATTCCCGATCGGGAGAAGAGGCAGTTGGCTGAGTAGCATGGAGCTGGGAGTTTGGGGCTCGGGTGCAGCTGTTCAGGCAAGACTTTAAGTCAATGTGGAGAAGTGGAAAGAGACAGGCAGAGAAAGGCAGCAAAGATGCTCTGGAACCAGACTAAAAACATGACCATCTTGCTTAAAGTCATCTTTGGCTTCAAATAACCTTAAAGAAATGAGGATACCTTTATTCTTATTTTCCATGCTTTTTTTTTTTTTTTCAGATTGTGTTCTTTGCAATGGTTCTAATACCATTACTTTAATTTCTTTCTTTGCCCTCTGAGTCTTTATATTAATTCTTTTTGGCTGAGTCCAATGAAATCGGTATTTATCTCCTGCACATTGAATTTTGATAACCTTGATCAGCAAGGCCAACCACAGAGTTTCCCATTACAATTTGAAACAGTCCCAAAATAATAAATTGCAGCAAGAATAAAGTGTACCTGAGGATGAAATTTCTTGTGATTAAAAGGCAAGGTTAGCTTGGACTAGATTAGGCACTTTTGTTTTATGACACTCATAAATTTGAAAAATCTATAAAAGAAAAACTGAATAAACAGTCTAGGCAAGTTGCATCATTAAAAAAAAAAGGTTCACACTTTGAAAAATGAATGAGGGCATGTGACAAAGTAGAAAGGGCTGTGTGAAAACAAATAACTTCAGATGAGGCTGGCACCCAAGCATAGGCATCTCTTTAGTAAAAGGACAGGGGCTTGCAAAATGGCTTTTTCTTAACCGGTGTCTGGAACCTAATATGAGCAAGAGGGGGTTTTTCTTTTTTTAAAAAATGCATTTATTTATTTATTTATTTTTGACTATGCTGGGTTTTTGTGGCTACGCGGGCTTTTCTCTAGTTGTGGTGAGCGGGGGCTCATCTCTAGTTGCGGTGCGCAGGCTTCTCACTGCGCTGGCTTCTCTTGTTGCCGAGCACACGCTCTAGGCATCCAGGCTTTAGCAGTTGGAGCCCCTGGACTCTAGAGCAAAGGCTTAATTGTTGGGGTGCATGGGCTTAGTTGTTCTGTGGTGTGTGGGATCTTCCCAGGCCAGGG